AATGTATCAAAACACTATACAATGGAGCTGAGAAAAATAAGGAAGAAGTCAGGAAAGTGCTACAGGAACAATCAAATAAGATAGATACAGATTGGAAACAATTCAAAACTTACAGAAAGAGGTCCAAATGATTAATAATAGAATATCAGAAATGGACAATACACTGAAAGGGCAAAGGAGTAGAATTGAAGATATAGAAGCCAGAACTAGTGAGCTAGAAGATAAATCTCTCAACACACTACTAAGATAGAAGAACAAACACAAGAAAGGATAATGTTTCATGTCTATTGAGACCATTAGTTTTAGTTAGATACAATTGTCTCATTCTTTATTTCCTCAGATTTGGGACTGGACTCAGTTTACACACGGTGAGTTAGGGAGTTGATTCTTACCTAGAAGTCTTATGGGGATGGTCCTATACCTATAGATTCCTATTTCTTAGCCCTGAGATTTCCTGAAAGAAAAATGCCTTCTGGACCTCCTCTCCAGGTTTGCAGTGGGGCTGGTCCAGCAAATGGAGTTGGGATGGAGGGTTAGTTCCCAGGTGTGGCAGCCATCAGCTATGAAGCAGCATCATGGAGCCTTCAGCAGCATTGGAGCCTAAGCCCCTCTTCCTGGTGACCAAGGACCTGGTCATTGTTGCTGTGTTGGACTCATCCATGGGCAGTCTGTATAATCAGCTCCTTGCTGGCCAACTGAGACCTTTTCAGAATGACACTGGAATAGGAGGCTCTTATTACCCATCCTCTTTCCCTCTCTCTCTTCCTTCATAGATATCAGACCTGCAATCCTGCCTGAAGTTTTACATTATGGATTAAATTGTGTTCCCTATAAGTGGTGTTGTAAATACTAACCTCTATACCTGTGCTAGATCCCTAGTGGCACAGTGGTTAAGTACTGAACTGCTAACCAAAAGGTCATTAGTTTAAACCCATCAGCTGCTTGTTGGGAGAAAGATATGACAGTTTGTTCCCATAAAGAGTTCAACCCTAGAAACCCCACACTGCAGTTCTACTGTGTCCTTACAGGCACACTATGAGTCAGAACCGACTCGAGGGTAACAGGTTATGCCTGTGGTTATATGCGATGGTTATAACCCCAGTTAACTCTGGAGAAGGACATCATGCTTGGTAAAGTGGAAGGTCAGTGAAAAAAAGGAAGACCCCCAATGAGATGGACTGACACAGTGGCATCAACAATGAGTTCAAACTTAACAATAATTGTGAGGATGGTGAAGAACCAGGCAGTGTTTCGAACTGGTTGTGCATAGGGTCGCTATGAATTGGAGCAGACTTGATGGCACTTAACAACAAAGACATGACCCTAGTAGGGAATGGTCTGTCTTTGTTATGTTCTAGGACAGGATTCGTATGTGGTGTGTCTTAAATCAATCTCTGTTGAGATGCTGAGATGTGAAAGAGACTTTACAAGCAAATGAAAGAAGCAGAGATGGAGAAAGAGATGGCAAGTTACATGGAGATTGCCCAAGAGGGGAAGCTCAGAAGAGTTAAGGATCTTCCTCCAGAGCCAACAGAGAGAGAAAGCCTTCCCAGCACCCTAAATTTGTACTTCTAGCCTCCTAAAGTTGAGAAAATAAATTTCTGTTCTTTAAAGTCACCCCATTTGTCATAATTCTGTTATAGCAGCACTAAATAACTAAGACAGCCCCTTACCCAATCTTGTTCCTTCCTCTTTGCCTTTCACTAGACCTTCCTCCAATAAATCCCCTGCACTTCTAACACTATGAGGACAAGATGAACCTGGCACTCAGACCCTGGCCCAGTCCCTCTCCCCACCTCTCCGTTAGTAGCTGTTCTGAGTGAACACAGAATGTGCTGGAGCTAGGCACTGCCTGCCCCATTCTCCTGGCACTGGGAGCAGCAGAAAATCCTCTAGGCAGAGAAACGGGCACCCAGCCAGGTCCATGGGAAGGCTGCGAGGACTGAAAGTCTCCCAGGCCCTAGGGAGGCCCTCCCCACAGACCCGACTTCTCTCCTGCTCCACCCTGGGACTCACTGCAAGTCACTGTTCTTCTGGGGCCTCACTCATCCATCTCTGCAATGGGGTGAGAGACCTGCCCTGCCTGTCTCTCCAGGGAGGGGCACAATTGTGACATTAGATGAGGTCATGGCTAGGAAAATATGGATAGAAAGTGCATAGCACATCGAGGATGTCTCTGTCCTGGGGTCTGGGTCCCAGTGGGCATGGGGAGAGCAGACAGAGAAGAAAGGAAAACCAAGAAGAAACAGATGAAAATACAAAATGAGAGAGGAAGAGAAATACAGACACACATGGAGAGAAACAACAGGACAGAGAAAATGTGAGAGACAGGAGGCAATGGCATGAAACGTGTGTGTGTGTGTGTGTGTGTGTGTGTATGTAAGAGAGATTTCCTGAAAAAAAGAAAAAGAGAGAGAGATGGGGAAAAGAATAAAAGACAGAGATGGGGAAGAGAATGAGAGAGAGAGAGATGGGAAAAGAATAAGAGACAGAGATTAGGAAGAGAATGAAAGAGACAGAGATGGGGAAGAGAATGAAAGAGAGAGAGATGGGGAAAAGAATAAGAGAAGTATAGGAAGATACCCATAGAGACAGAGGGAAGGAGACACAGAGAGATCAAACCAAAGACAGTGAAATAGGGAAGAACAATGAGAAACTGTCAAGACGAGAAAAACAGAAAGAGAAAGAAACTGACAGAGGAAAAGAAAAAGCTGGGGGAGGGGGGCAGGGGACCAAAAGAAATGATGAGAATCAGAGCCAGAGAGGGAAACAGAAAGAGACACTAAAAGAAGACAAAGTGATGGAGAGAGGCTGGATAGAAACATACAGAGGTGGGGAGGGGAGCACTTCTCTCCCTGCCTGCTCCCGTCACACCCCACTGGCACCTACCATGTACCCTGCACCCTGGACAGGTGGAGACCCAGAGGAAAGTCTCAGCCCCCTGTCCTGTACTGCTGGTTTGCTCTTTCCCTTCCCCTGCTCCAAGTCAGACCTCTGAGAGGGGCACCCCAGTGGAAGGCAGGAAGCCAGATTTTGTCTGGAAGGCTGAGTGATGGGGCCGACTACGTGGAGTCTGAGGGGAAAGCCCAGTGACACCCTCTTGAGGCCTGGACAGGCCCTGACTTGCCTCCCTCTGTGCCCACACAGGGAAAGCCCTCAGAGGTCAATTCCAAGCTCCTCACTGCACAGAGGAGGAAATCTAAGCCCAGAGAGGGACAGGACCGAGCTCCAAGTCACATAGCCATTTAGTGGTCTAGCTAGGACTGGACATGGTTGCTGAGGTGGAAAACCTTGGGGCTTGCTCTCCCTTGGGTGATTGCTCCCCACCCAGGGGTGCTCTGAGGCTCCAGGGGCAATGTTCTGATTGTCAGGCTCAGTGCCAAGCCTTACCCATCCCCCTTGAGATGACAAGGACATTATGCCTGTGATAGAGATGTAAGGAAACTGAGGCTCTGAGAAGTGAAGACTTTCTAGCGTCATACAACTGGACCTGGCCTGTCTAAATTGGAAGACTGTGCATTGCAGTGGTACCTCCCAGCCTTCCCAGAAATCAGGAATATATAGGCAGAGGCGGGCAGCAGTTCCTATGGCTGTGGAAAGTTCCTAGAACGTGGTTTTCAAATGTTAGAATTCTTTCCAGAGGACCACCTTTTTTCTGTCACGCCCTGTCCTTGTTACTGTTAAGTGCCTTGGAGTCAGTTCTGACTCATAGCAACCCTGTAAGGGTTTCCGAGGAGAGGCTGGTGAGCTTGAACCACTGACCTTATGGTTCAAACCAACCTTGCAGTCCAGTGCATTAGCTGAGAGCACCACACCAGGACTACATATAGATGGGACTTTGATTCTGCAGTCCCACCTGAACAGCTCTGTCCAAGCTGGCTCTCTATCACTGGGCCTTGCCCCCACAAGACTCAGCAATGTCCCCCAAGAACTCCACACCTAGGCTCTAGACCCTTCCCAACTGGCCCTGGGACTGCAGTCTCCTCCCCTTACTGAACTCAGTTTCTTCATCTGCAGTATGGGTACAATCACCACAGCCCACCACCACCCCGCGCCCCCCAACCGCCCCAAGCCCTGAGGATTGATGGCTGAATGATACATCAACTTAAAGGAAACAGGAACCAGAGTTAGTGCAGCCTTCCCTACTGGAAGGACCCATCTCTGGAGGAAATTTAAGGTGTTCATGTGTGTCCCAAGTCCAGAGATCAAGGTGCAGCAGCCCTAGACCCTGGCCACCCTCTGCTTCGTTGAGGGCCACAGTCCCTCCTAGTGGAAAGTGTTAGCCCTGCACACCTGTTCTCAAGTTCTGTTCCCGCTGTGTCACCAGCATTAGACCAGCCATGGTGCTAGGAGTGCCAGAAGTGTAGAGCCCTGGGGTGCTACCCCTGGATATACCAAGAGCCTTTCCAAGAACCAGAACTGGAGGAAGCACCTGAGGTGGTCAGGGGATGGGCGCTCCCTTTCCCAGAAGCCCCGGAGCCCGTACTGGCAGGGCGGTGGCCACAGAGTCCCAGCCCTGCTCTTACCTCTTTCACCCAGCCCTGGCAGACTGCCCATGGCCCCCTGCCAGCCAGATGGAGGTGGATATGGCAGCCCCACTGGATAAGGGAACAAGAAGGAACTTTGGGACCCTGAACCCACTGCCCCTTGGGAGAAACAGACACCTCTAACCCCCATTTCCAGAACCCTGGGCTTTGGCATCCACAGTCCCCATCTGGGCGGGAGCTGGGGCAGGTGACTGGATGGCGCTGAGAAGGGCAGGGTGAGTGGGGGCGTGGGCCCCGACAAGTGCACTTATCCACCAATCAGCATCCTGCCGGGCCGGTGGATTCAGTTACAAGGCCGAGATCACCCCATACTCCATCCGCCTTCCTCCTCCTCCCACAACTCCATTCATTGGAGCCTGCGGAGCCCTGCTTCCACTTGGCTACTGAGCTGTCTCCTTGCAAGTCATCAGAGCAGTCATCCAGGGGGCTTTGTCTGGCCTGGGCTAAGGTGGAATGGGGGTTCTGGGAATGCTTCTGGGAGTGCTGGGCTTCCTGGGTGTGACTCTGGGGGACTCCCCTGCATTCCACTGGAACAATACCTCTTGCCACTTGGCTGGACCTGTGCCCGGTGGTCCCCTGGGGTTCTTGAGTTTCCTGGGCAAAGGTGCTCAAGGACTGGCCCTGTTCCACGCTCGCTGGAATGAGCACGGGAGGTTGCAGGCGTGTAACTGGCAGAACGAACCCAAGCTCACCGCAGCCTTCCGCTCCCTCTGCACTCACGAGGCCACCAGAGACTCCTTCATCCACACCCCTGGGCCAGAGTTGCAGAAAGATCTGAACACTCTTCAGAGTCAGTGGGAGGCCTGCCAAGTGCAGGGAAAGTGGCTGGTAGATGCGAGGAAGAAGCGAGCCACCGGGCAGAGCAGAATGTCTGGTGGATACCGCCGGGCCAAGAGAGGCTGGACCATGCCTGGTACACTGTGGTGTGGCATTGGAGACTCTGCTAGTAACTCCTCGGAGCTGGGTGAGCCATGGGTCGTGGGTGGGGGAGGCAGTGCAGATCCCCATTTCCCCAGGCTGTGTCCTTGGTGGGAATGACTTAGTCACTCTGAGCCTCAGTGTCCTTATCTACAATGTGGGGGGTGACAATAAATTGCACTATGGATGCTTGCTTAAATGAGGTCATGGATGGGGAGGGTCCTGCTCCAACCTCATTTATTAATCACCATCCTGAGAGAGGGGGGCAAGTTGGGGTGGATTCAGGGTCCGCTGAGCCAAAAAGCCACTATCCAGAGCAGAATTTCTGGGACTCAATCCTGTCCCTGTCAAGAGCCCAAAGGTCTTGGTTCAAATCTCAGCTCAGCATATGTGAAGTGGGCCAGTTTTCTCATTTGTAGAATGAAGCTGACACCTCCTCCACACTGCTGTGAGCTTGGGTGTGAGCACCACCCATTGCAGTCAACTCTTAGTCACAGTGACCTGAGAGGACAGAGCACGACTGCTCCTCAGAGTTCCCAAGGCTATAAATCTTTATGGGAGCAGACTGCCTCATCCTTCTCCCATGTGAGTGTGGGCTGTGCTCTTTTCTCCCCGTCTCAGCACAGTTGTCTGTGTATATGCATGGAGGACTGGGGAAAGAGGGTTTGGCATCTTGAGTTGGAGCAGGTTGGCATCCTGGCAATACCTCCTCTACCAGTAGGAAAGGTTGCACCCTGCCTGCCAGCCATTCCACAACACTCATGTTCATAACTTTGGAGTTTCATTGGGTGTGTGAGCTTGGGAACTTTGGAGGCCAACTCCAGTACCCTCGTGTGCTCCTGTGTGGATTCCTAGTGTCTGCACCTTCCGGCCAGGGCTGTGACCTCTGATCTCTTCAACTTTCACAACTGTGAGAGTGTTGCAGAGTGCAAGTGATAAGCCTAAGGCCACCAGGACATTTGTGCCAGGGCTGGGACAAGAATGAGGTCCTGCCTCCTTGGTACCAGGTGGGCACAGCTGGGGCATGGTACCTAGGACCCTGATGAGCTGACACACTCTCTGTACTACTTCTCCCTGACAGGGGTCTTCCAGGGCCCAGATCTCTGTTGCCGGGAACATGACCGCTGCTCACAGACCATCTCACCCTTCCAGTATAACTACGGTGTCCGAAACTTCCGCTTCCACACCATCTCCCACTGTGACTGTGATGCCAGGTGAGCGATGGGCAAGGGGCACTGGGGGCTCACTTCCTGAATGCAGACTCTGGAATCTCAGAGACTCCTGACCCCAGTGAGCAGCTGGGAAAGCCAAGGTCTGACAGAAGTGACTTTTGGGCCCCAAACCACCTAGCTGGTGGTATCAGGGTGGGCGAGGGGAGAAGCAAGGTGGCCTTCTGTGGCCCAGGGACCTGAGTGCCAGCTTTGGCAGATTCCAGCAATGCCTGCAGGACCAGCATGACTCCGTCTCGGACATTGTGGGTGTGGCCTTCTTCAATGTGCTGGAGATCCCCTGTTTTGTGTTGGAGCAGCAGGAAGCGTGTGTGGCGTGGTACTGGTGGGGCGGGTACGTGACTGCTCCCCTCGAGCCCCTTTCTAGCCAGAAGGGACACCTAGGCTCCAGGTCAGGGAGGGAGGTCATCTTCTGTTTTTCAGGAAATGCACCCAGGACACAGACCATCCCTGGTGCCCTCAGTCCAGTGGGATGGAGAGTGGGACTGGGTCTTGCCCCATGGAGGTGTCCCCAAGGGCTTTTGGGAAGGGAAAGTCCAGGTAACTAAGAGCTACCAACCACTATCTCCTAGGTGTAGGATGTATGGCTCAGTACCCTTGGCCCGCTTCCAGCCCAGGACTTTCTACAAAGCCTCCTGGAATCCTCCTCAGGGAGCCACCCCCCTGACTCCCAGTCTAGCCCCTACCAAGCCCAGACAGAAGCAGCACCTTCGGAAGTGGTCACTGAAGCAGCAAGGACTCAAGCACTCCAGCAAAGTCAGCCCCACAGTCTTCCAGGTGCCCCGTCCAGGCCTCCTAGGGCCACAGGGAGGCCTAAAAGGTAAAGGTGAGTCAGTGCCTGGCCCAGAGGGTCTTTGACCTGCAATTTCCTCCCCACCACTGAGTTGAGCTGCCAGCCTCCTCCTCAGCACTGTGGAAGCATTGTCTTCCCTGTATGAAGGGCCAAGGAGGGGCTGACTGATACATTGGCTTGGGAACACAAAACCATACAGCTCCTTCCTGCTAGAAGAACTCTTTTCTCTTGGAGTTTCTGGTGTAAAAGGGTCCCTGGCTCTGTGTGAAGAGCTGTGTCAACTTCTTTTCTGCTCTAAACTCCAAGCGTTTTCTCACCTCTCCCATCACATTAAATGGTGATATACCTAGAGGGACTTTCATAAACCACCAACTTGATCACATCACCCCTTGCTTGAGCCCCTGCCATAGCTCCCCTTTCCCTCAGCAGATGACATGCCAACACACTCAGGCCTTGGCCCTGCAGACCCTACCCTGGAGTAGGCACATGCCAGCCAGGTCCACAGACTTCATTGGGTTCCTCAAAACTCGCACTTTCTCACCCACCTCTGGGTCTTTCTGTTCTGCCTAGAGTGCTTGCCCCTTACAGATTCAGCCTCAGCCTAGCCGCCTCTGCCTCCCCTGACCATCTTCGACACTCTCATCCCCACGGGTGCAGCCCTCAAGGACATGCAGGGCGTGAGCCAGAGGGTAATTGTGGGTGCGTGAGGGAGCAAAGGTGTGGAGTGATTCTTGGAAGGTGGCTATGGACACTGGGGTCTCCTTTACCACTCTGTCCTCCTCCAGGTGCTCATCGGGCCTGTCGCAGTTTCCGCCGCCTGGACCAGTGTGAGCACCAGATCGCGCCTCAGGAGACCAAGTTCCAGCTGCTCAACAGTGCCCACATGCCTCTCTTCCACTGTAACTGTACCCGCCGGTGAGGCCCGCTAGGGGCCCTAGGGGGTGGGTCTTGCTGCCAAGCACTGGGATGGCGTTCCTGGCCTGCTGGTGAGGCTCTGCCTGACTGAGTCTCCCTTTTCCCTTAGCCTGGTGCACTTCCTAAGACTCCACAGCCCCCCTGCGGGCACCAGCAAGCTTTGGGAGCTGCTGGGCCAGACATGCTTCAAACTGGCCCCTCCAGACTGTGCGGAGGACAAAGGGTGAGTGATGGCAGGGTCAGGTGAGGCGGAGGAGGCCTCTGCCCCTTTTGTGTGCCTGGCTGAGGGGAGGAAAGGTGGGGGCTGGGAGGCCTGAGCTCATTGTCATCATCCCTCTTGGCTGCCCAGGTCCAACTAGGTCTCTGCAGTTGGCCCGGGTGGGTGGCATCACAGCTCTATCATTTACCTCCTGTGTGACCTTGCCAAGTCAATTGACCTTGCTGACCTCTCCCTTTTTTGAAATGACCATAGAAGCCAAAGAGATGGTGCTGGTTATGTACTGAGTCCTAGGCCTGTCTGCTGCTAACTTCTAATCCTAATTTGCAATCTCATTTGGTTCTGCTGCTCAAGGCCAACCTCTGTGACCTTTCCCATTTCTCAGGGGAGGAAACTGAGGCCCAGCCTGGCCCAGGGTCCCACAGGCAGCTATGAGTTCAGAACCCAGGATTTATTCTGCCCACTCCTTTTTGTAACCCTCCCTGCCTGCTTTGCTGGTGGTCCTAGCCCCACCCCTGCTCTCTGGGAGCTTCAATCTCCCTGTTTGCAGAATGAGGTGGGATCCTTGGCAGCTCTGATCACCCCACCCATCTCTTCTCTCCCCACAGCTGTTCTGGAGGCATGAGGGCCATCAAAGTGTCAGCTCGACATTTGCAGCGGCTTCAGCAGAGGCGACTCCAGGTCTGGGGTGCAAGCACAGATGAGGAGCAGCCTTGGCCGTCAGATCACCCAGGAGCTCCCATGACATTCTATGACCGATGCCTGCGGCTTACCCAGGCAGCCCAGAGCCCCAGTGGGCAGCAGAAATCCTGAAGCCAGTGACCTTCGTTCCAGCTTTGTTGGGCACTAGCCTGGACCTTGACCCTGGCTTTGCTGGCTTTGGGGGCCTTAGTTTCCTCTCCATGGGTTAGACTGAAGCCTAGCAGAGGCTTTTGTGGAAGGGGTGAGAAGCTGGAAGGGCAGGACCCCATGCCCATGTGCTGATCTATGTCTCCCTGTTGCTCTGGGGGACCTTGGACACAATCCCTCTGCTCCAGGATGGGGTGTTCAGGAGGCTCACTCTGAGGCCCTGGGTTTGGGCTTTGCCATGGACCTTCATAACCAGATGAACATGGGGAGGGGTTAACTTATTGTAGCAGCTCAGGAATTACTGGGAGGAATGCTCATTATGTAACGAACAAGTCTCACGGACCTATCCACTGGACCCCCAGCACCTGGCTGCTGCAGGGACGCTTGGACAGCAGGTGAGGAATAAGGAATGTCACTGAAGTGCCTGTGTCTTCTTCCAGGACAGGGACACTGGCGAGGGGCCTCCCAACTCCCCTTCATGCCAGTGGGGTTGTGGGGAGGGCCATTAACAGCTCTTGCACCTTCTTTCTGCTCTAAATCTAAATTTGATTCTTCCTGTGCCATTGGGAAAGGGATTCCCACCCCACTTTGAGCCTGGATTGCAAACAGGAGCTACAGTACAGGTTTGTTGAGGATGAAGCGAACTGGTGCATGTACCTAGTGTTTAGCAACTAGGACACAATTCCCTGCCCTCCAGTGCACTGCCAAACTGCACTTAGGTGTCTGATTCCAGAGACTTACAGATGCTCTTAAAGGCCTCAGTTTCCTCACCTGTGAAATGGGTCTAAAAATGGCACTGAATTTGTAGGACTATAGTACAGATTAAAGGAGATGGTGTGTGCAACATAAATGTCAGTTCTTTTATCCATTTGCTTCTTGAATATCCCTGATTTACCTACCCCTACCCCACTAAAAAAGAGTCGGGAGTAGGCTGGAGAATTTAATTCTTAATGATGATGTCCAGAAAGGGACATCTGCCAGAGTTCCCTCCCCCCATCCCAGATGGAGGCCAGGACAGGGCTTGGCTGATTGTCACAGTTGAGATGCGGGGTTTGAGTTTGGGGGACCTCAGTGGACCACCCCCTGTGTGTAGATCAAGCTGGAGCAGCAATGGAAGGGAGGCAGGCAGGTCTGCGGAAAATTGGGGCAGAGTGAGCAGGTGGGTCACCACTCCAGCCCTCAGGGTCCCAGGCCCCCCTCCTCTAGACCCTGCCAGCCCTGGGGGCTGGGAGACAGGCTGTTGGGAGCCGATGACTTCAGATCAGGTCCCCAAGAACTGCTGCCACTGCTGGGATCTACAGTCTCCAAGCGCAAAGCGGGCAGCAGGCCCAGGCTTCGAGGCACAGCTGGTGGGAAGGCCCAGGGCCCAGGCAGCCTAGAGGGCCCTTCCTCACTACTGCCCTGGCTGCCACCATCACTGCTCCTGTCAGGAGCCACCCGGGGCCGACGGCGGCTCTGAGGAGAGGGGCTGCGGCTGGCACCATGGCGTTCTCGGGATGAGGGGCGCAGGGCGAGGCTGGAGAAACGAGCCAGGCCTGGGCTGCGGCTACGGTGCCGTTTGGACTTGCCAGGGCTGGGGCTGCGGGACTTGGGTGCCAGCAGCTCTAGGGTACTGTCATCCTCGTCCTCTGAGCTGGCCCCCGAGCTGTCTGTGCTGCTGCTGCTTAACTCAGAGGTAGGCAGAGAGATCTGGGGAAAAACAATGATTACTGGGTTGCCCTAGCCCAGCTACCAAGACCCCTTGGAGTCCCCCCTCCCATTATGGGTTGAACTGTGTTCCCCCAAAATATGTCTTGTAAGCTTTCTGCCTGTAGTTATAATCTCATTTGGGAATGGGTTGTCTTTGTCGTGTTTACAAGGCAGGCTTAATGTGGGGTGTATTTTCAGTCAATCTCTTTTGAGACACAAAAGAGATTAAACAAGGAAACAGAGTAGAGATGGGGAAAGAGAGATGCCAAGCTACATGAAGACGAGATGAGACAGGACTTTCCTCCAGAGCCAACAGAGGAAGCCTTCCCCTAGAGCCAGCACCTTGAATTTGGACTTCTAGCCTCCTAAATTATGAGAGAATACATGGCTGTTTGTTAAGCTACCCACTCGTATTTCTGTTATAGCAGCACTAGAGAACTACATTTCCCACACCTCTCAGGGAAGTCAGGCTGTGGACTTTGAGCAGGGTCTCTGGGCATACCCCGCTCATAGTCTGGCCTTACCTGGAAGGGCTCAGTGACACCAATGAGGATACTGTGGTTGTGGCTGTAATAACCCAGAATAAAGTCTCCATGGCCCTTGGGCAGCGAATCCTCACTGAATGTCACCTGGTGGGCCCCGGATATTGGCCCAGGTTAGAGTCAGAGAGGCAGCCTCTGGGACCCCCAAATCAAGCTCTAAACCCCTAAAGGCAATGGGGACTCCTGACTCCCTTAAGTACCTGGTAGGTGTGCCCATCCACATCCTCATGTTTGGCCCACACATAAGCCACGTAGTCCTTGCAGTGGTGGAAACCCACCTGGGGAGAGAGGATTAGACAAACCAGTGATCCCACCTTGATGCCCTTTCCTGCCCTGAATGAATGATCACCCCAGCCCTGCTCACCCGGTACAAGCCGATCCAATCCCAGGAGCTGCGGGCGAACACCGTTTCCATGCGGTACCTGACCACAGCCTGCTCTGGCCGCACCCACTCGTCTGCCACCTCCAACCGCACCAGGGGCATGTCGTCCCTGAAGGCAAACTGCCCAGGCAAGGTGGAAGTAGGGACAACATTAGGAACAACCCTGTAGTATCCCATGTACCTAGCGCTTTGGATCTCAGCATGAGCACAGAGCAACTGAAAGAAAAGGCCTTTGTGCTCCATAAATTATTTGCCTATATGCCAGCAAGGGAGGCAGGCAAAGTCCCATGAGGCAATGGGTATTCTAGGGTAAGAGCATTAGATGTGGGCTCTGTCATTAACTTGTGGTGTAACCTTAGGCAAGCCCCTACCCATCCTAAGACTTGTTTTCCCCATTTGTATGAAGGGACCCTGACTATTGCCAAGTAGTTATCTGTGAGGAGAAATGATAAATGGGAGTATCCACTCCCCCATTCCTCTCCAGGGCCATCCCCGGCTAATCGGGGCCACCTGAGTGGGTGGAGGTGGCTGGTGGCCAGGTATTGACTTCACCTCTGTCCTGGAGGGAAGGGATCAGGTAGTGCCAGCCTCAGGCCTTTGTCTGCTCTGCAGTTTATCTGGTTTCAGGTTTCCCTCCTTCCTTCCTTAGCTTCTCAGTCTACTCCAGAAGAAATCATTCTTCCAAAGCCTTGCAGGGTTGACCTCCCCACTACGTTGCCTTGAACAAGGGGGCTAACTAAGCTCCATGAGCCTCAGTTTCCCTCACCAATAAAACCGGGAGAAGAACTGGAATGTCTAGGGCCTACTGAAACATTCAAAGGAAGTCTAAATGTGCAGTGCCCTACACAGGGCCTGGCATATGGTAGGTGCTCAAAGGTGACATTTCTAGAGGCCTCTGGATGGGGAGAGAAGGATAGGGTGGGGTGCCCAAAAGGAGTGGCTCCCAAGGCGAGGTTCCTGATTGAGGTTAAACTTCATGCCCAAGCCCTTTACTAAAGGTCACAGGAGGCCAGGTGTGGGCAGATTTCCATCCCTGTGGAAGACACTGGCCAATGTCCTACTCATATAGACCATGTGACAAAGTAACCAAAGTAAACACTCTCTGGCTGGCAGGCTCCTCCTTATCGGATCAAGAAAATCAGAGAGGCTTGAGTTTCAGAGCTGCAAAGATGGGATCTAACCCATTTTGCCATGAAGCCTGTACATCATCGGAGGGGGGCATGAGCTCACCCTCTTCCTTCAGAAGCCTTGGTTTCCCTATTGAAAAGCAGGATTGTCCCTCAGGTCTTGTTCTCTCATATTCTAAGATTTCCCCCTAAATTCAATGCTAAGTTACAGTGACTCAACCCTAAATACAGTGCTAATTTACAGTGACTATTTAGAAGGAGCTCTGGTAGTGTAGTGGTTACGAATTGGGCTGCGAACCTTAATGTCAGCAGTTCAAAACCACCAGCTGTTCCATGGGAGATAGATGAGGTTTCCTGTTCCCATAAAGATTTAAAGCCTCAGAAACACTGTACAGGGTCACTATGAGTCGGTTCCGACTCCACAGCACATAATCACCACCACATTTAGAGTTTAGTTTTTTGTTGTTGTTGAATATTTTTACTCCCCCCTCTCCATCACTCCTGGAAAAAACAACAACAAAAAACCCCACAATGAAACAAAACAAAGCAATAAAACAAACCAACCCAGTGCCATGAAGTCATTCTGACTCAGAGTTAACCAAACGGTGCAAAGTAGAACTGCCCCCATAGGGTTTTCAAGGCTGTAAGTCTTTACAAACGCAAACTGTCACATCTTTCTCCCACAGAGCAAGGTGGTGGGTTTGAACTACCAACTTTTCAGTTGGTAATCAAGCACTTAACCCCTGTGCCACCAAGATTCTTTCATCATTCTTATAGTGTCTGGCAAATGATAAGCATTCAGTAAATAATGAAAGAGTGCCACATAGGATAGGAATATACATTTGATCTCACCGGTTGCATTACATAGAAGGAAGATACAGAAGACTAGTAGAAATAGTTGTTGTTCTATTGTGTTAATTCTGACTCACAGAGACCTCATGTGATAAGAGTTTTCTTGGCTGTAATCTTTATGAAAGCAGATACTCCTGTGGAGCAGCTAGGTGGGTTCAAACTACTAACCTTTGGTTAGCATCCAAGTGTTTAACCATTTGCGCCACCAGGACTATAGGCTCTGAAATCTGATTGGCCCAGAGTAAAGTCCTAATTCTTTCTCTTACTAGCTGTTTAAACTCTGGGCAGATGATGTCGTGTCTCCAAGTCTCTGTTTCCTCATCTGGAAATGAAGATCATGACTCCATTTCCAGTCTGCTACATGAAAGGATGCTGCTCCTTAGTGCAAGGGGCTACTTGTGGACAAGGGATGCTGAGCTAGATGTGAGGATGTCAGGAGGGGCAGGTAAAGCCAGAACTTACCTGCAGCACAAACTGAGCGGCCACGGGCTTGTGGTCGCTGACTGTGTACTCCATGTGGCTGCAGTAGCTGTGCTGGGTTACTTGGAGCCGGTGACTTTCCCGTCCTGAGGGACTGGGACCCCCACCAGGAGTCTTGACCTTCCACAGGATACGGTCTGTCCAGGCTGGCTTCCGCTTCTTGGCGCTGCAGTGGGTATGGGTAGCCTGAGTTTCACCTCCTGTCCCTCTTCCCAAGTCTCCTTCGCCAAAAGACCTCAGCCTTTGTCTCCACCCTACCCCAATGCTGATCTTACCTGGTATCGTATTTGTTGGTACCCACGTCAAATTTGAAGGTGGGTGCAAAGTTGAGGGGTCCCTCCTGGAAGCCCTTCAGGATGGGCCAGGTGTTCTTGGCCATGTTGAGCTGTGAGGGTTCAAGAGGAGAGAATTGGACAATAGTCTGAGTAGACCTCAGGAGGTGGCAGAGCAGGTGTGGGCAAGGACCATATACAAGGGTCCTGGTGTGTCCTAGGCATGCTGTGTAAGCTTAGGGATTTTCCCGGTCAGGTAGATCCCACACCTGGTCCTTCTCCCAGAGCTGGTGGAGCTGGTTGCTGTCAATGGCGAGCTTGACAAATTGCAGGTCATAGCTCTCGATGCGGAAGTTCAGGTCTCCAAACCAGAACACAAGGCTGTTGGGTGGTGGGAGTCAGCGGGGTCCATGTGGTGGAAGGGCTTAGTTCAGATCCCCTCCAATCCCAACCATGGGGCCGGTGTGAGAGGGAGCGAAGCTGGAGAGGTGAGGGTCTCCCCCGCTCTGCGTAAGGTAGGTGAGGGACTGCAAACAGTTGCACAGGAAGGTCTAGGAGAAAGTTAAGCCCCGCCTCTCAGCAAGGCCCTGCACCTAATTCAGTAAGGTTCGACCTGTAGACCTCATCACTCCCCATCAAACTCTTTATTGTTGTTGTTAAGTGCCTTCGAGTCTGTTCTGACTCAGCCACCTATGTTTTTATTCCTAGACATATTTTTGGGGCCATCCACCCACCTCTTCCCACGAACTTCAGCCAAGCTGATAAACTATTCCTTGTTACAAATTACCAAGAGCCACGCCTCATGGCACCTAACAACAACAACAACAACAGACGCCTCGGAAACCCCTCAGAGCCACGCCCACCTCCATTTGGCCCCGCCCCAGTCCATACTCGTGGTCAAGAATGCCGTGAGCGCCGGGCCCCTGGAACTGCTGGAGGCTGAGAATGGTCTGGAAGTCATCCTTGCGCTGTTCCGCCTTGTCCATGTGTGCCGGCAGGTGGCAGTTGAGGAAGCACAGCATGTGCCCAAAGGCCGCCAGGCGCACACTCACTCCGCCCTTGTTGCCCTAAGGAAAAGGCAGGTGTAGGCGGGTTAGGGGCGGGACCTAAGCACGGAGTGGTGAGACCATTCACTTGGTGGACCGGGCACCAAGGGCATGGAGAGGGGCGGGTCCTAGGGAAAGACCAGAAAGAGGCGGGGCCTATGGAAATTGAGTGCATTGCATAGACTTGGGAGAAGTACAGCTTGTGGGGAAAACTACCTGGGAAGTAGCGGAGAAGGGTAATCTCTGTCCCCTTTCCCGCCGTGTGCCCTCCCAGCCGCTACTGCACTCACCCAGTAGCCGCCCAGGCCGGTGCGAGTGCAGTCGGTTTGCACATCCCGCAGAAAGGGCAGGTGGTAGTACTTGGAGAACAGCAGCAGGATGACGCCCTGCATCCGCACGGTGCTCACCTGCAAAGGAAGGCGAAGGGAGTGGGACTCGATGCCTCTGGCTCGCCCCTGCCTTCTACTTGGGCCGTAAGGTCTGCTCCTCATTCATTTTCCCATTTAATGGACCCGGAGCCAGCGACCCAAGGGCCCCAGGTGAATCAAGGCGGAGCTGGGGCCAGAAATCCTGCAGGGTCTCGGCAGGTCCCGGGGCTGAGAGGGTGTTACCAGAACGAAGTTGAAGGGCCCCAGCGCGTCCATAAAGATCTCGCTCCACTGGTCCGTGAAGAGCGCGTCCTTGAGTCGCTTGTTGATCATGGAGTTCACTTCTTGCAGCCTAGGAGTGAGGGTGTCGGGTTATGGGCGGGGGTCTGAGGTAGTCAAGAGACTTAGGAGGGGGTCCACAGGCCCTGTCCCCTCACCCTATGACGATCATGTCGGCACCGTCGCTGTCATGACGGCCGCCCAGGTGAAGGAGGGACGTGACATCGTCGGGGGGCATGGCAGTGCCCACGTTCCACGTGACCACAGTGATCCTGGGGGCGGGGCACAGGAGGGGTTACTGCTGGGCACCACTCTGCTCACTGTCATCTCCCTCCTACAGGGCTCTCTTTGGGGAAATAAACTGAGGCAGGAAGATCCCACGGGGCAGCTATCCTGTCTACTGGACTCTCCCTGGGGAACCCCCTCAGGTGGGGATGGTGTCTTATGAAGGTTCCAAAATAGCCTAGCACCTCTAAGGATTCTTCCTGAGCTAGGCAAAATGAGGCAGAGTAGAAGTGAGTGGTCCGGAGGAATGACTAGTCTCAGAGCTCAAGTCCCCAACAACCTTTCCTGGGAGAGGGCCTACCCCTTACCGGAAGCCAGGGTCGCTCTTGCAGGTAGGCTGTGCTGACCAAGAGGAGGACGGTGATGTGGATGTAGGAGGCGAGGTGGTGACTGGGGCTGGAGATTCTTGAGGCTGAAAACTGGGGCTTCGGTGTCCACCAGGCCCTGCACTTTGGGGGCCAGGTCTGGGGACGGCTACCTCAGGGACTAGGGGAGCACAGGGGGAGCGGCTTGGGGAGCGGCTGGGAGACCGGGGTGGTTTGGGCAGAGGTGGAGGCACTGTGTGGGCTGAGGAGCTCCCCGCCCGGAAGGTGGGGGACAGCAGTCCAGGGGAGCGGGTGCCAGGCTCTGGAGGGCTGTGGCCCACATCCAGGGGCAGGGTGTGGGGTGGCCGAGGCAGGACAGGGTCTTCTGGGCTGTTGTGGGAGGCCTCAGGTCGGGCTCGGAAGGAGGTTGAGAATCTGGAACCTGGATGGGCTTGGGTTGAGGAGCATACAGGACCAGGTGCCTGAACCAGAGGTTGGAGATGCCCTTCAGTTGAGGGGAGAGAGCTAGGTGCTGGGGTGCCTCTTTGTCTAGCAGGTGTCCATCCCACAGAGGCTGAGGCTGATGCCATGGAGTTTTGGGTGCTGGCCTGTTCCTGAGAGGGTGACAGAATCGGACTAGGCACTGGGGAGGGGCTAGAGGAGGCCAGTTGGGGCTGTTCATCAGAAGCCTGGGTCAGACTCAGGCCCGAAGAAGCCAGTGCTGGTTTGGGTCCCATGGAGGTGGGGGACACTTGCTTCTGGTCCCTAAAAACAGGAGCCAGACTGGGCCCCAGAGTGGCTGGGGGAGACCTGGGCCCTGCTGAAGCAGATATCACTAGCTGCCCCAGGGAGGTGGGAGCCAGGACGGAGCCTGTGGTTGCTGGGGGAGGCTTTGGCCCAGCCGAGGCAGATAACACTAGCTGGCCGACAGATGTTGGAGCCAGGCTGGAACTGTGGCGGGCAGGTGATGTTTTCTGTACCCCAGGAGTAGACAGGATGGATCGGGGAGATGCCAGAGTCAGCCTTGGTCCCTCTGATGAAGGTGATATAGCTGCTTGTGGTCCCACAGGTATGAGAGCCAACCTTGGTTCCGAGGACACTGGGGCTGCTTTCCCCTTCACTGGGAATGGAAAACTCGAGCCCACCTTACAGAGGACAAGTACAAAGATTCAGGGTAATCCTGACCAGGGACTTGTGCCCTGACTTCTTTAGTGACCCAGGCAGACCCTATCTAGTTAATGAAGACACAGCTTTGTAAGGAAACTTTTCCTAATACCTCACCTCAATTCATTCTGCTGTGGGTCAGTTTGTCTCTGACAGGAGATAGACCACAGAACCTTGTCCCCTCCCTCAAGTCTGAAACCCCTTTTACTGGGGGAAACAAGAGCCAGAGGGTGAGCCTGAATCTGAGGGTTCACCTTGCCTTGCTGGCTGGTACCCAGTCCCTGCCTACCCTGGAAGGAAAGTGGCTAAAGCCAATTTCCCTGAGCCACCCTCCCCTGTAGTCTCTGTTACTTCCCAGACAAAGACTGAAGACTTAACACCCAGATCTGCCCACTATAGGCAAATGGGGTCCAGCCTGTTAAGTGTCGTTCCTTTCCCACACAGTGCCCAAGAACCCTCATCACCCCCTGCCCCAAACAGTCCAAATTCTTTGCCCATAGTCTTCCCTGCCCTCTCCCATCTCCGGGGTTCATTCAGAAGGAAGAGCCTGGAGCTAAGACTGGCCCTGTAGATTCCAAGTACAGCTTCTGTGGACCCTTAGGTAAGAGCCTCTTTGCCCAGGGCCTCAGTTTCCCTGGTTATAAAGGAAAAGGGTGGAGTTAAGGGATCCTAGTCACATCATATTCTAGGGGGTCTTGCTTTTGTATTTTCTGCAGTTATAAAACCAACATTCACTAGGATTTCATTGAGTCCCATGGAATAATCCATCCTTACCAAGTGTGATTCTACCATTCTGAGCAAGTTCAGGATTCTAAGTTTGTCCTGGTATCACACCTCTCTGTGCCCCCAGCTGTGCCTTCTTACCCCCTGCCTGTGTTCCTTATCTGTGAGGACAGGCAAGCAGGTATCCCCTTTATGTCCTGCTGTGGAGGGGGGGCAAGGGAGTAGGGTCCTGTAAGGACCTCTCTTCCCCATCCATCTCCTGTTTCTGATGCCCTTTCATTCTGGAGATAGAATGAAGGTCCTTTACCAAGGAGGTTGGAAGAAGGTCTACTTCTGGCTCCATCCTGCCTCCCAGAGACGCAGTTCTGTCTGCATCCCATCCTATGTCCTTCTCGGTTCAGAGAACCTTAGACTCTGCCCCTCTCCAAACTTGGCTCTTTGAGGTAGCTTTAGGGTATCCTCCTTGGTTCCAAGTGTCCCACTGTGCAAGCCCCCACTACTGCCACCAACACCACACCGCCTCCAGCACTAACAACTTAGGCATCCCAGATGTCACAGTTTTAGTCTTCAGAGACAAGCCTCCTCATTTTGCATAGTCTCAGAGAGGACAAGCAACTTGCCCAAGGTCACACAGCTAACCTGGAGCACAGCTGGGGTACCCTGCTGCTAAGTCCAGGGCTCTCCTAGGGGCTCCTAGAGGTGGCTAACTCCAGCTCTCTCTCAGTGTCCAGTCACCACCCTCTCAATCCCCACATTATCCTCTTTGCTCAGCCCCTGATCAGTGGGCAGAGGAGAGTGCCAACAACCTCTTAGCCATGGGCACCAGGGTGCCTGCAGTGGTGGAGGGGCAGGGAGGGGGGACAGGGGGTGCGGGCCCAGGAATGGGGTTAGGGGTCTTACCTTGGAGGGTGCCCCATGGGTCACAGGCTGAGGGCCCAGGCCAGCCAGGGTCCCCAGCCTCCTGCTGCCAGTGCTGTTCTGGTCCTCCATGTCTGTAGCCCCCAGCAGCCCGGGCTCCCTCGGGCTCTGGCTTCAGCTCCTCTGCTCCCGGGAACCAGTGATGTCATCAGCCATTTCAACCTGCTGAGAATTTAAAGGCACAGGCGCCTAATTCCCAACCAGGAGGTGGCCAGGGCAGAGTGGCCTCCCAGCTTAGGAACCTTCAAGCAAACAGCTGAGGCCAGAACCGCCATGGGGAAGGGAGATGTGCACATCAACATGGTCCAGGTCCTAACTGGCAGCATGGGTGAAACCATCTGTCTGTCCACCCCCACACCCAGTGTCTGTGGGCCAGCCTTTGCTCCAGGAAAGGCATCAACACACCTGAGGGTGAGGTAGGAACAGGTGGCTCAGAGATCGGCACCCTCTTCAGGGCCTCAAGGACACCTGAGTGTGCATCCGATCCTGTGACCTTCCTGACTTCCTGCCAGCTCAGAGCTTACCCTGGCCCCCACCCTTGCCCCATTTTCAGGCCTTGGTGCCTCAAACCCCACTCCACCCCCAAGCCGGGTTCTGTCCCTCCTATCCCAGTGGCAGACACTCAGACTGTAGCCACCAGAACCTTTTCCCATTGCAACCTCAGCACCATCTACAGATACCTCGTAGCCCTTAGATGCCCTAGGCCAGGTCTGTCCTAGCCCAGCTCCTCTCAACTCTCCTCTTTACAACGCTCACTAGCTGAGGTTGGGAGGAGAACACACAGGCTGGCTTTGTTCAAGGTCACCCAGAGATCTGAGGAGGCCTCCTGAGTTTCAGTGAGGAGAGGGAGCTCCCTCAGGGACCCAAGACTAGCAAGAACTAGCTGGGGTGTTTGGGGAAGGGAACTGGGGCACAGAAGGGTCCATCAGTAAGGGAACAGGTAGGTCAAAACCAGAATGATTTGGCCAAGACCCAGTCCCTAACAGGCCTAAGGAAGTGTTTAACTAATGAAATGACTGTGGGTCCTCTGCTTCTTCCTCCCTCCTACTTCCATTCCTTTCTGCTAAGCAACCCCTCCAGAATTATTGGGTTGCTTAGAGAGGAGTGATCCTATCCAGGCAGGAAATGTCAGAGGTTTATACTAAGCAGTTGCCTCTACGTCTTCATATGTGGTCCCCTATGTGAAGGTCATGAGGACTCTCCACTCATCTCTACTGAACTGTCTCTAGGTGTTTGAGCCAGCATCTCCGTAAGACTGGAATTTCAGGGAGCAGAGACATAGGGCCTATTGATACCCTGAGATAGGAAAGTTTTGGATGGTGATGAAGGGTGATTGTGGTAGGGGTGATAGAGAAGATGGAATTGGCCAACTGAGTGATGGTGGAGGTGATAGTGATGGCAAAGGTGAAGGTGATTGTTCAGCTAAATGGAGGTGGTGGTGACAGTAGAGACAAATGTAGAGGTCCTAATGATGGTATGGATATTTGTAACAGAGGAGGTGATGGTGTTGACAGTGGTGCAGGTAATAACAAAAGTATAGATTAGGGTGAGGGCAGAGCCAGTAAAGCAAAGGGATGGTGTAATGGTGATGATGGTAGTAAAAGTGGGGGAGAAGAGGGAGAGAGAAGAGATAGTAAGGGTGTTAGGTTGATGGAGGAAAAGGTGAAGGTGAAGGTGAGGGGAGACATGTAGTTCTGCTGAGGCCACCAGAGAAGGAGCCATTGAAGTCATCCTCCCCAGCCCTCTGACTCTTATTTTACAGATGAGAACCTGAGGCCCCAAGAATACCCAGCTTCTGATGTAACCCTGAAAGGAGTGAAGAGCAGATTCAGGCCCCTGGGACCAGTCCTAATGACCACGTGGGTCAGGACAGGAGCTGTACACTCTTTGGAAGCCAGGCAAATACCATGCAAATGAGTATGCAAATGAATTGCTCTGCCCCAGTGGGTTAACCCAAGATTTCACACCAACCTTTTCCCTAAGCTCAGACGTTGCAGGGGACTTTGTTTCTGGTCTTGCACTGGGTAACCTTAGGTCACTCAGATGTCCAGTAGATAGGAACCAAAGCTAAATCCTAAGATCATACATGTGAGATGCGTATCACAGGGTCTGGCATAGGACAACCTCTATCGTCTTTCATTATCCTCAACATCATAGTCATCATCACTATCTACGCCAATTTGCCCACTTGATGGCTACTGAAACTTAGGCCTGGGGGTGGTTTCAGGCCTGGGGGCAAAGGGAAGTGGCTGTGAGAGCCGGACTTGAAGTTGGCAGAAGAAGGAGGAGGTGGGGTGGGTATAAGGAGGGATGGGGGGTGGACCCCTGCTGAGAAGGGATCTGGTAAGAGCTATATTTGAGCTCCTGGTGTGATGACTAAGAAGGGTTGATAACAGGCTCCAGGGCTCAGGGCGGCAGGCCGGGGGCAGCTGCCAGGGCGAGCCGCCCCCCTGGAGACGGCTGGCTCCCTCCCTTTCTTTACTCTGGAGAGGCGAGAAGGGGTGTGTGCTGAGGGGTGCAGCTATTCTAGGTCCCTCCAGGAAACTCTCAGTGCCACCCTTTAGGTGGTTTGGAGCAGGAATAGGAAGGGAGGGAGCTGATGGTTGACACCCTTTATCTTAGTTACTCTCCATGTTGTTGTTGTTATGTGACATGGAGTCGGTTCCGACTCATAGCGACCCTGTACAGGATTTCCGAGGCTGTAAATCTTTACGGGAGCCGAAAACCTCATCTTTCTCCCACGGAACAGCTGGTAGTTTCGAACTGCTGACCTTGCGGTTTGTAGCCTGATTCGTAACCATTATGCTACCAGAGCTCCTTAGTTACTCTCCATAGTAACACTATAAGGTTGATGATATAGTTACTCTCCATAGTAACACTATAAGGTTGATAATAAGATCCCCATTTGACAGAGGAAGAAACTGAGGCCCAGGAATTACACAGCCAGTAGTGGGCAGAACCTGAGGTTCCTAGAGAGGAAGGGGGCAACTCTCCCTGACACCAAGGAGGTGACCGGTGAACCCTGTCTAGAAGGAGAGACAGTAATGCCCAGTGAAAAAGAGGAGAAATGTTGAGGGAGTGGCAGGTGCAAAGTAATGTCCTGTGGGAGGTTCTGGCCATGAAACGATGTACAGTTTGGACATGTGCCCAGGGCCACTTGGCTCCCAGTAAAACACCATGAACAAGGAAGAGAGTGGAGCCTTTTTCCTTTCTCTTCCTGCCCCGCCTCACACAGGTGCCTATGGGTGGTACAAAATGCAGAAGGGTTTCCTCTCTTCCTTCCCCCACAGCCACTCTGACCCAGGCCCTCTGCGAGGGAGGTCACGCTGTGTGACCCCTATCTGGAAAATGTCTTGAGGGTAATACAGGATACCGAGGGATGATGGGTTTCCAGAGGAGAAGGTGAGCAGGGCATAGAGGAGCTCTTCTCTGAAGACATTCATCGGGGTGCTATTGGAACTATTGGTGCTATTGTCTTGTGTCATTGGTCCCTCATTCCCACCCTCTGGTGCAGACATCACCCTCACTCCCCATTCTGTCAAGAAATGGGTGCAGGAAGTGGAATGACTTTCACAAGGTCACACAGCTGGGGCCTGATCTCAGGCATTCCTCCTGTTTCTCATTAGCTCCCCCTCCTCCTAGGCAGCCCAGCATCCGCTGTCAGCTGCTCTGAAGTGTGTGGCTATTTTTATTCTGGTGCGAGGGGATCTTGGGCAGCAGAGCCATGTAGGTTAGAAGGCTCTAGGACACCCAGCCTCAGCATGAGGTTTACTGCAAAGACCAGTAAGGTATGTTAGGCTTGAGTGTGCCTCTCATTTTTTGTAGCTAGACATGCCCTGGGTTCTCAGGGCTCCAAAAACTTCTTTACTGGGGGCTCAGAGCAAAGCACAGAGTCAGGCTAGTCCTATCATAGCTCTGATCCTAGATTCAGACTGAGCTCTGTTATGAATTGAATTCTTTCCCTCTGAAATATATGTTGTAACTCTTAACCCCTATGCCTGTAATTTAGACTCCTGGTGTGGCACTGTAGGATCAGCATTGAACTGGAACCACAAGGTCATTCAAACCAACCAGGTGCTCCTTTGAAACTCCATACAGGGTCGCTATGAGTTAGAACTGGCTCAACAGCACTTAACAACAACAACAACATGCTTGTAGTTATAATTCCATTCGGAAAGGGGTTGTCTTTGTTGATTTAATGAGGAAGGATGAGTTTAGGCTGTAGTGCTATAGGGTAAGCACTGGACTACTAACCACAAGGTTGATAGTTCAAACCCACCAGCAACTCTGCTGAAGAGAGGTAAGGCTTTCTGCTCCAGTAAAGATTTATAGCCTTGGAAACCCTATACAGGCTTAAGGTGAGTTGGAATCAACTCAATGGCAGTGAGGTGTTTTCTGAGCGAGTGTTTTCAGTCAATCTCTCTTGAAATATAAAAGATATTAGACAAGCAAGCAGAGGAGAGCTGGGGTGATGTAGAAGCTAAGACATATGGAGCGCTCCAAAGAACTGGGAAGCAGAAGCTGAACAGTCAAGGACCCTCTTCCAGAGCTAACAGAGAGAAAGATTTCCCCTACAGATGGCATTCTGAAATTCAGACTTCTAGCCTCCTACTCTGAGAGAAAATAAATTTCTGATTGTTAAAGCCGCTTACTTGTGGTATTTCTATTATAGCAGCACTAAAGGAAACCCTGTACAGGGTCGCTATGGGTCGGAACTGACTAGACGGCACTTAACAACAACAACAACAAAGGAGTTCTGGTAGTGTAGTGGTTATGAATCAGGCTGTGAACCGCAAGGTCAGCAGTTTGAAACTACCAGCTGCTCCGCAGGAGAAAGATGAGGCGTTCTGCTCCCGTAAAGATTTACAGCCTCGGAAACCCTGTTCAGGGTCGCTATGGGTCGGAACCGACTCGATGGCACTTAACAACAACAACAAAGAACTAAGACAAGCTCTAATCTTGGTGTTATCCTGAGCCTCTTCTCCAATTCTAGAATGAACTCCAACTACAAATAAGGTTGATCCCAGTTTGAAACCTTGATTCTTCTGTGCCCAGAGTAAGCCCTGATTCTA